TGTTGTAGAATGAGTCCTAGCCTCTCTGAGAGCCATGACTGGTGTTGTAAGCCTTGTCAGATCGTCACATTCGGCGAAGGTTCACTTACTAGCGAAGCGTCAAAAGTTTCGACATTCTGAAAGAGCCTGGCCACATCACCCTGCACAAGGGACTCGAGCCTGGACTGAAGTGAGAGCGCAAGTTCACTCTGTTTCACGACATTCTGCTCATGAGCATGCACCCTTTGTGCTTCTCTGGTTAGAGCTTCGTCATAAACAGCTTGCAGCATTTGTCGCAGGTAGTTGACGTCATTAGTAGCGTTTCGAATGTCCTAGACAATGTCAGTCGTATTGGTATAAGATTGCTAGACGCGTACCTTGTCGAGGTTTGTTGCATCGATATGTACCCTTGCAAGGGCTGAAGTCGCAGTTGTAACTATCGAATTGATGGCAGACTCAATACCTTCCTTAAAGTTGCCCAGCAGAGCTCTGAAGCCAGTCTCGGTTGCTTCCAGGTCTTGTGTCAGCTTCACCTGCAAAGCTGCGGTCGTCTGCATGAAGGCTTGACGCTGGGAAGTTTCTGCAGAGGCCATCTGAAGCGCCTCTTTGAGCCCATGGCTGAGCTTGATGGAGCTTTCGACTATTGAACGATGAAGCTCGAGAAGCTCCTCCTTCTCGGTCTCAAGCCGCGTTGCTTGACATATTACCATGGCATTCTGTCTACTATTACTATACGATGTCCACCACTGTGGTCGAGATTCCAGTGACCTTAAACACGATTCTAAAATCTCAGGTGGCATAGAGTCTGCAGTGGTGGTCGTGGATTTATGATTGGAAGAAAACCCAAAGAATCCTTTCTTCCGGGGAGCCTCAAGAGTCACTGGAAGACATGGAGGAGGAATTGATGCTCCCGCTCCATTCAGTTCACATACTGCCAGTCGTGCCGCATACAGAGAGCGAACATGCTCCAATGCAAGATATGTACTTGCTTCTGTATGATCCGCCGTTCCCCCTATGGATTGACAAGATGCGACCAGCCTTGAAGCTGCAATCCGGTTGCAGGAAGGTGACGACTTCATGGATTCAAGTAGCTGTACCGCTTCGGTAAAGATAGCATCATGCTGCTGCGTCTTCGACTGTAGGAAGGAGACCAGATCAATATCTGCAGATGCGTTATGGCCAGGTACTGACATCCCTAACTTCTTTATTAATGATGAATTGATAGTTCATTGGCCAAAAACGTACCAGTCACCAGCTTCCCAGCGAGGGCAGGACTTGATATAAGCAGGAGAAAGAGCAGCATTTTGGCAAGCAAGAACGTAGCCAGGTGAGTCCTTGACATCTTGGTTGAGAATAGAGAGTGTCTTTACCGCAGAACAGAGCCGTGAGTAGAAGAGAGTCGATGGAGACGAGGCACAGCCTTGCCTCGATGGCAATGATACTGATATTAGGCAATTAGAAGGAACAATAGCGATAGGGAATGCTGTAACCGATGGTCAAGAACAGCCAGCAGAGTACAAAGATGAAAAGGTTAAGTCTCCCGTAAGACTGAAGCTAGAATGAAGTAGTCTGAGATGAAGCTGAAGGAAACGACAGCGAAAGGAGCAGAGCGAAAGAGACAGACATTACACTATCAAGCGCAAAACAAAAAGATACCTTACAAGAAGCGGACAAGCCATGTCACCAGCAAGCTCTGACAATATGCAGAAAATCAATCATACACAGCATACAGACACCTGGGGATGTTTTCATCCCGATCTATGAGGACGGTGATAGAGTCACGTGAAGAGAGACTAACCCAATTTGGAGCGTATGCCTTTGGACAAAATTAGTTGAGATCCGGAGATTTAACCGCTATCTCGAACAGTCAAACACAATTATCGTCGCCATGTCGAATCTTCTACCTCAGAGCTGCTTCAGGCAGCTTACACGAACCCCTCTCCGGCAGACCCCACTACCTGTCTTCCTGGCATCTGCATACTCCCATCCGCTGCGGACACAATGTTTTTCAACCAGTTCCCCGACACAATCGCGAGTAGGCGGCGCTCCCATCTCGATACCGCCAGAGGTTTCGTTGAAGTTTGTCGACCTGCCTCAGACTCAGGTACGAGGCCGGTCGAAGGAGATTCCTAAGACTGCCATTGAGGTCAAGGGTCCTCTGGGTAAGCGACGGTGTTTCATCCTTGAGTGTCTCGGAAGCGGAATCTAATATACGGTTTGGTCATAGGTGAATTGACCTTGAACATCCCCCCGTTTGTTGAGGTCGCACACGATGAAGCACTCCGGAAGGCCAGTTTGGCTGTTCAAGACCCCTCGGAAGCCCATCAACGTGCCATGTGGGGTATGTGGATGACTCTTGAGTGTCCATGCGACGGACCACGTCTGACTTTTGCGGCTTCTAGGAACTATTCGGGCCCATCTGCAGAACTACGTACTTGGAGTATCAGAAGGGCATATTTGCATTTTGAGTCTGGTCGGTGTCGGTTACAGAGCGAGCGTCGAGTCCACAGCGACTACAGTGGAACCCGAATACCCCGGCCAACAGTTCGTCTCTCTCAAGGTTGGATATTCTCACCCGATTGAGCTTGGTGTTCCGAAGGGAGTCAAGGCCAGCACACCGCAGCCTACTCGTATTCTGCTTGAGGGAGTCGACAAGAATGTTGTGACACAATTCGCGGCGGAGATCAGAGAATGGCGGAAGCCGGAGCCTTACAAGGGCAAGGGTATTTTTGTGAATGGAGAAACAATCAGACTGAAGGCCAAGAAGATTCGGTGAACTGGGGTGGTTTGTATTTTACTTTGGCATTTCTTGGAACATGGTCTGGGCTGTTTCTGTACATGTATATTCAAGCAGAGTCTCTCCTGCTTTTCCAATTGGTATCTATCCTATGTACTTTTAGGCGCATCTAGCGTGCAGGGTCTAACAAAGATTTAGAACAGGTTTAGTGATCCGATTCAATTGTTGTTAGCGTTCGCTTCCATTTTTATAGCTTCAGGACCGTCTTGACAGCACTAATGACCTGGTCCTGGATGGCCTTGGGAGCGGCGACGACTCCCTTGTTGACAGCCAAAGTCCGGCCCTTGCTGAAATCCAACCGCTGACCATAGATATCGGTCACTTGTCCACCAGCCTCGCGGACAATGAGATCACCAGCTGCATGATCCCAGATCTTCTCTTGGTAGTCCTTTTTGACAGGTAGCCGGAGGTAGATATCACCTGCACCTCTAGCAATTGAGCAGTACTTGGCCTGCGAATCGAGTCGCACGCTGGGGGAGGTGATACCGAGGAGCTGAGCGACGGCAGCGTTGTCGCCTTGAGCGGAGTGGGCAGCCTCCACTCCTTCACAGAAAACGGCTTGTTTGATATCGGGAACGGGACGCATCGAGATTGGCTTGCTCTCGGCAAGAGCACCATTTGAGAGGGGTCGGCTAATGGCTCCCTCGCCCTTGATGGCCGAGAAAAGTACTCCCTTTCCGGCGCCATCGGTCTGGTCAACGCCGATACTGGCGGTCATGGCAACCGAGTCTTCCACGGGCAAGTTGGGGCAACCAATAGCACCGACCTTCACATCTCCGTCCTCCATCAAGCCAAGACAGACAGCATACTGACCGCCCCGGAGGAATCCCTTTGTGCCATCGATAGGATCCAGAGCCCAGATTCGACCCTTGGGACCGCCTGCGCTCTTGCCTTGGTCGATGATGTCCAGCATCTCATCTTCGCTTGGCAAGGGACCACCCAGGAGCTCATTACTCTCATTATCTTCCAGTCTGATGTCCTTGACCAGTCTCCAGATCTCTGCGCTCAACGCCTTATCCTCCCGAAGGGAGCTAGCCTCCTCTTCGGCGACGATCTCATCGTTGGGGAAGTTCTTGCGGATAGCTTGGATGATTAGAGCTTGAGCGCCGAAGTCGCCAATGGTGACGGGCGATTTGTCGTCTTTCGAAACCGTGCCCTTGGCCTTCTCGTGGAAAACTTTCTGTGTCAGAAGTGTTGCTCGCTGAACAGCGAGTTCGGCAATGTAGCGCTCTTGTTGGTAGGTCATGTTGGCAATTCGGGTATAAGGAGGTGAGGAAGAAGACAAGTGGGGGAGGAAGGTAAATATGCGCGGGCGGGTTTTAAAGATGATACTGACTCCAAGCAGAAGAGTGGAGCAGAGGATAAGACGGGAGAAGATTGAGAAGGACGACTGGCGAATTGAGGAGCGATCAGCCGGATTTATAGACCGAGGACCCATTGGGAAGCGAAGAAGGTGTACGTAAGATGCTGCTCAGCAGCAATTGATAGTAATATGTGTTGATTCCCTAGTTCATATCGCCCTCAGTCATCGTTTCCCTGCAGTGGTAGTCATCATTCGTTGAATTATTTACTCCTGACTGTTTCATCAGCGTAACCGGACTCCATCCATTCAACACCCCAGGCATCCAGGCATCCAGGTATCCCACCTCTTTCCCCGCCCTAAACTCCTTTGGGGGTGCGGGAGAGGGGCAATCACGAGATTGGCATTGGCCCATTATTAGGGAGGAGTACGGAGTACGGAGTAGGGGATATCGCCATCAACACAGTTGGACGACAGCGATGTCTATCTAATTGTAGATAGTCATATACGCCACCTTCCAAAATCTCTGCCGCATCGTTCATCGGTGGCGCGAAAGGGCTTGGATAGCGGGAGTTGCGCGAACCAGCCTCTTTTTCATTAAAAGTCAAGCGTGTTCGTGTGTTGGGCTTTTAGCACTGCCGCCAGGGCACACGACGGCCTCGGTCGGACTAACAGGCTCTAACACGTCACCGTCTGGCTATTGCTGTGCCTAACTTCATATATCTGTTGCCGAGACCCTGGATTTAGGGACTATACGCGGCGTTGCAGGAAACCAGCTCTAATTACTTGAATACTGATCTCTAGGTCTCACGGGGGCTGAGCTTCACCAAGAGAGGAGTCATCACTGAGTTCGCCTTGGGAAATCATTGCGCTTTGACAGCTTTGATACTTATTTACCCAATAAGACCTCTTAATGACAACGTCATGTTCCATTCATCAGTAAGTGAGCATTGATCATTGATAAGAGCAGTCGCAGAGCATGCTTGATTCTTTGTACTCAAATCATCAGAATCCATATCAAGTTCCTCGTGGTTGATCATATGAAAAGTCGCGCAGAACTGACGGTTACTTTGCGCAGAAACCATACTCGGCTGTGACCGTTCAAATTGAAGTGCTCACCAGTGAGCAGTACGAGATTGAAGATTCAAGTGGAATTGTCGATCTCATCGAAGCGATTCGCATCCAGAGCAGCGGTCCGACTGAAGCAAGTCGTGCGTTGCGTAAGAAACTGTCAGTTCGGTTATCTATCCCTTCTATCTCAGTCATACTTATCTAATGTTTCTCCAGGAAATATGGCAACCTGCATCGCCAACTCAGAGCTCTTACAATTCTTGACTTTTTGATACAGAATGCTGGAGATCGATTCCTGCGAGAGTTCGCAGATGAACCACTCTTGGAGCGTCTACGAATCGCAGCCACCGATCCAGTATCCGATCCCTTGGTCAAACAGAAATGCAAGCAACTTTTCGGGCAATGGGCAGTATCCTACAAGGACACACCGGGGATGGCAGGGGTGACAGCGCTTTACCGGCAGCTTCCAAAGCGCAAACAGCCCGCCACTCAGGCCAAGGCGAAAGTTCTCCGGGATACTGGTAATTCGACTAATAATGAGCCACAACTGGGCCATACAGTCTCTATTTCCGTAGGAAACGGCCCAAGCACTATCTTGAGCAGTCCCAAGCACAAACATTCATCGAGCAAATCTTCTTTCAAGAGAGACAAGAAAGAAAAAGAGAAGAAAACACACAATAGGTCGTTCAGCTTGGATAGAGAGAAGCCGGAGATGCTACAGACTCTCGCCTCCTCCTCGGTCGCCAGTACCAACCTTCTGAACGCTCTGAAGCGGGTGAATCGAGAAACGCAGCGGGTGAGCGAAGATACCGAATGTCTCAACCGGTTTGAGACCTGCAAGCTCCTCAGACGGCAGATTCTCCGGTACATTCAACATGTCGAGAGTGAAGAATATCTGGGAAGTCTTATCCACGCCAATGAGGAGCTGGTTACTGCTCTTATGGCCTTCGAAGTCCTGGATAAGAGTATAGATTATGACAGCGACAGTGACCAGGATGTGCTTGAAAGTGGCTGGACTCCTGACCGAGACGATCTCGACGAATCTTTTGCCGGACTGGTCGTCAACCCTCCCAAACCGCCTCGGCCTCCTCGACCTTTAAGCATATCCGTACCATCATCCTCCCAGCAAAGGTACATCAGTGCCAGTGAGTCTGAGACGGATGAGGATGACGACGACGAGAACAACCCATTTGGCGACAGAAACGCTATCCGCACACCTGGCCTTGAGAGGACTGAGCCTACATGGTATGTATCTTTCATAGTCTTCCTGGTACGCATAGTTCCTGCTAACTCCTGTATAGGAGAGAAGTTTGAACCCGTCAACATGTATTTTTCTCTATTTCACTCGTAACGCCATGTCGCCGCTATACTTTTTATGCCTCTGATGATTCTCCATGTTTACTGTTTCAACGTTTATTAGGTGGGGGGAAATCAAGGGGAGGACAATTAGGATCCACAGCTTAGAAAATCGCTCAGCCAGATTATACCCGAGTTACGTTACAGTCAGCAGCACGCTCTTTACTATTGTATGGGTCGCTCAACAGGATTGAATTTCTCGAAATGGAGGCGGTCTTTGCCAGTCTGCTCTTATGTATAACATCGGAGTCGTTTTCTCAGGGCGTTGGCAAAGCGCAAAGGAAATTTTCCTTCTATCGTCGATTCTCAGTATCGCATTTGAACCAGGGGATGCAGTCGCAAGAATGATATCCCATTTGCCCAAAACTAAAATCAAATCAAAGCTCATGTAGTTCGTTCAGTCTCCGCATCTTACTTTACGCGAAATGCCGAACACCTCCACCCTATCTATTTAGGCACCATTTCGATGTTAGCATCTCCCAATCAGGAAAATAGTTGCTGGTGAACTGCTGGACACCATAATACCATCAAAAGTTTGGTAATCACCAGTAAATTATATCTCTAATGATAATAGGAAGGTCCGAAGGAATCACCCCAAACGGGTAAGCAGTAAATTATATCAACATGAACAATCAGCCGAAAGATATGCGCGCACCCTAACACCGTTTCCAAAATCTGAGTAACTAGCTCTGCCATGACTCAATTCAATTAGATATAAAAAAGGCACAGCGCATCCCAACACCGAAACAGCCAACATTTGACTCTGCGCAGTAATAACTACCACAGCGTACCCGGTAACCACCCGAAGAGAAGCATAAATGACACCCCCAGTCACCAAAATCGCGCTCCTGCGTCTGAAATGCGAGCCTCCCTCCGCATCATTCAAAACGCTCCTCCTCGAAGGCATCGAAGCGCAAGCCAAATTCTCCTCTTACCCGGTCCGCCTCTTCTCCCAAGTCGAGGATCCCTCGCTCATCTACCTCGTCGGCGGATGGGACTCGGCCCAGCAGCATTACGATTGGATTCCCTCGGCTACGAATCAAGGGATCATGGAACGGCTCTCGAAGGAGATGGAGGTGGTGTGGATGTTCCATGTGGATGGTGATGCGGCGCGGCAGGGGGAGTTACTGACCGAAGCATCTGTTGTTGCTGTGGGGCGGTATTTCATGACCGCTGAGGAGAAAGAGGGGTTTAAACGGGTGTTTGAGGAGACGCAGCATCATCTAGAGGGGTTTACGAAGCCGTTACCTGTATTCAAGGGGTGGAGGATTGAGAAGGAAGAAGGGAAGGAGGAGTTTGTGCTGTTTAGTGGGTGGACGGAGGTGCAGCAGCATTTCGACTTTGCCCGGTCCGAGGGATTCCAGGAGTTTTCGAAGATCAACGAGTATGTGGACTCGGCGGAGATCAAGCATATTGTTCGATGGGAGGATGAGTGAGTGCGTTGTGTGGATATGGAAAGATTCATTGACATCATTAGTTCATTCTTCATGAGGCTATGTATGTATGCGTGTATGCAAAACGCCCTTATCTAAAGCAAAACCAATTGGGTATATTTCTCGAATGATCGGGGCATGAATATACGAAGCAGCAGAATCAGACAGACAATGAACTTATGGAGAGAATTCACAGCACTTTTGTTTTCATCCACTCGCTTGTTCCAACGCCCAGGTTGAGCCCGTTGCGAGCCCACCACCGGCGGACGCGTCCCTCCGCTCCAGAAACTGGGTCCGCATCCTCGAGAGCTTCTTCGATGTCGCATGTTTTAAACTCCACTCGCAGACCACTGCGGCGCCACCATTCCAGAACGTTATCATGTCCATTCTTGGTCGGTCCAACCAACAGCTGACTGTCGAAGATCATCTTGGGTCCCTTCAGCCGGTACCAGAAGTCGAGAACATGGACATGGCCATGAGTGCTGGCAATGCGGGCAACGGATTCTGCATGACTATACGGAATGCCTGAAGCATCCCACCAAGCTAGCGACGCCACTCGACCGGACTGTGCAGCGAGTAAAACAGATTTCCCTACTTTAAGCGGGATAGGATTCGATGCAGGAGCATTTGCAGAGGCATTCTTCCACCATTCAAGCACCGCTACCCGACCCTCGGCACTGGCTGACTCGAGTGCTCTCTCCGTATACCGTAATTCGAGTCCCGATGTTCGCCACCATTCGAGCACCTCCACGAAGCCGGCGCGAGAGGCTCCATCCATCGCATCGGCACTGTAATCCTTATTCGGCAGCGCAGGTGCCTCTTGCCACCATGTCAAGATCTTGGGGTTCCCGTATATTGCCGATGCACGGTATGGCAGTTTTGTTAGGCGAGATGTAGTCCATAGCAGATCAAGATGATTCTCTGTCAGGTATGACAGTATGTCTGTTCGCGAGAACTTGAAGATGAGGTGGCAGGCTAGGTCTGATAGCGGTTTCCAACGAGGTAGGCTGTCTATGCGCTTTTTGATAGCAGCAAAGGACCCTCTTAGGATCGTGTATTCCAGAGATGCCGGAGTAGACATCTTGAGTAGGTGAGATTGCCATTCCTTAGGTACAGGAAGGTTTGTAGGAATGCCAACTGCTTTGGCGATTTCCCAATCTTGCAGCTGTTCTTCGAATATGTTTAGCCATAACTCGAGGGGTAGTGATCGCGCGCCCTTCCGAAGATGCTGTGCCGCTGAGATTGCGCTCGCGGACTGTTTGGTCGCTGATGGGACTACTTGTTGTATGCTATCGAGAGCCTGTCCAGAAATTGTCGAGGACACGGCGAAAGATAGCCCTAGGGAACGCTCCATAGTATCATGTAGCTCTTTTAGACCATCCCAATGTAATTGAACAAGTTCCTCGGGACCATTCGATCGCGACAGGGCTGGCTTGACGATGTTGATCCAGGGCCAATATCGGTCGACTTCTGCCAGCTGTCTGGTGCTAAGAGGATGCTCCCACTCCGAAACTGTCATTCCCGGTATAAGGATGACAGGTTTTGTTGAAATCCAGCCACGAAGAAGCGCCAGCGTCAACGTGTTGGTGAGGCCAAATAGCATCGACCCCAGCGCTCCAGCATCGATGGGGGCAACGAGGAGCATATCAGCCCACTCACTGAGCTCTGCTGCCTTGGCTTTAAGCCACCTTCGAGCACCGGTCTTCTTCTCAAATGTTTGGCTATCCACAGTATCCATGTAATGAGGTATCTTGTTTGCGCCTGCTAAGAGGGCCGAAGGCTCGTCCGTGATCAGCCGTAGTTCGATGTCGGGATTCTGAACGAGAGAGGGTAGTATGTTGTCGACGAAGGCGCTTTCCGTCGACAGTAATATACGCCTTCTGCGGCGTTTCGATGAAATGGCGACATCTCCCGCGACATCGTTCGAACCGATGTTGGTAAATGCAGAAGGACGAATTGATTTCTCCTCAGTCTCCCCATCAATCTCCATCTCAGTCGGCAGAAGGCTTTTTGAGGCAAAACCTGCCAAAGCACCAGATTTTGTAGAACTATCCGGCCGTAATCTCACTGCCATGTCAGGAATATGGCCAACAACCGTTGAAATCAGCCACGAGAAAGGTTGTGGCGATGATAATCGATACGGAGCAGAGTTTTGTGGTCCGTGGAGCAAATCGAAAAGTCCAAGAGGCTATCCGAACGGCAGGCAAGGGTCAAAAGGAGGACTTCAACGAGCCGAGCTTTCTCTGTACACCTTATGACACGAAGACGCCTGAGCGGAGAAGTGCTGAAAGCGACAAGGAAGCCAAAAGGTAACGAGGAAGTGTCGACACCAGAGCCCAATGGAATTGGGTTACTTCAATTGCAGCCCAAATCGCTCTCCTTCAACAAGCAACGATATGGAATCCATGTAAAAGAATGGTGGCAACGCCCAATGGCTTCTCTTTAATGCAGCTTGACAACAACGGGTCGAGCGTGTCAGAGGTGAGCTAATCGACTAAGTTGTTGTATGAGCGGGTTGACCAGGAAAGCGGTCAAGAACAACGCAAGAAAGTGGAACGAATGTTGACTCGGCGGTTCCCAGGATAGAGCTCTCGGTTCCAGGCCAATTCGGCGTTGAAACTTGTTAGTCGCCACGTCTTCTTCAGTGATGCTCTGTCTGTGACGCCACCTATCTACCGAAACCGGTCGAAAGTTGGTCGACGTGTCAAGGGTGTTGCTGAGACACTCGAAATACCTGGAGCACAGTGGGCTAAGGAAAGATACTGACACAGTCACACAACACGGAATTTTGGGACAGGAATACTACTCGGCTTGGGATGATCAAAGGCAAATCAATCGTAAGACCCTCGCGGGCTCATGGATCCCGTTGTTTCTACGGCTATCGGCGGGGAGAGGGAGATCATGTGGAATCTCCGATCTCTGATTGGTTGATATAAATCAGCCTGAGGTACTTCTTACGTCCACCATAATTACGGTGTGCAAGGAGCAGAACAACTGCATTAAAAGACAATAAACAGCTTAGTCTAGCGCCTACCTACATCATATGTATATACCTGTCGATTTACGATGTGGATAGCATAACTATTCACGATCCCTTCGGGCCAGGTTGTTGTGCAACTTGTGCTCCCGCATGGCCATGCTGACCAAGGCCCCCAAGACGCTGAGTCCGAGTAATGTCAGGAAAACCGCCCGTAGAGAATCCATAAATGCGTTTAGAACTCCTGCCTTCCAGTCCTCAGGAAGCTTACGGATCGCGTCCAGACTGTCCCTGATGCGTGAGATAATCTCTCGGGCATGCTCGCGATCACCGAAGCGCGACCACAGCCCTGACTTCAAGATATTTTGGAAAACTGCAGAGGCAATGGTGATACCGATCGTACTGCCTGTGCTGCGGAATGCATAGGATGCGGACGTGATGACAGCATGGTGTTCGTGGTCTACTGCAGAAATAAGAGCCACGAGGGTAATAGTGAGCATGCTGCCGTAGGCCGTGCCTAGGCAGAAGAAGTAGACGAAAGGGACCCAAGCAGGTGTTGCCAGGTTCAGAGTGCAGATTAGGGCACCTGCAGCGACGAAAAGAATCATGGAGATGTTGCTGAATATCTTGTACCGTCCGGTAGCACGCATGAGAATCCCCGAAGCAAGAGAGCCGAGGGATGTCCCAAGCGCCTGGGGTATCAGCCTGACGCCTGCGGCAGTGGCCGACAGGCCCTCAACCTGAAAGTATAAAGGAAGGTAGAAGAGGAGTCCGAAGACCGCCATCGTACTGAACCAGTTGGTAAGACAGGCCGAGGATACGGTCCGGTCGAGGAGCAGACGCACAGGGATGACTGGTTCAGACGCAATGTTTGCCTCTATATGAATGAAGATGCAGAGGAACACGGCAGAAAGCGGCAATGTCGTGAGAATCAAGGGATGAGTCCATGGCACCTGATTACCGCCAGTATTGAGTCCGAGTAGCAATAAGACAAGTGTAATGACCAGCGTGATAGCTCCCAGGAAGTCCACCCGCTTTAACTTGGCCGTGTCGGTTTCCTTGACGGGTATCTTCACCGTCACGGCAACAAGGATGCCTGACACGACAACGAAGGGTACCTGGATTAAGAAAGCCCATCTCCATCCCAGAGTGTCGTTGACCCATCCTCCGAAAACACCGCCGAGTCCACTTCCCGCTCCATAACAGATGTTACCAATGCCTTGCCACACACCTCGTTTGCGAAGAGGAACCAGATCCGATGTGACAAAAGTCGAAATAGCCGTCAAACCACCGCCTCCGATTCCTGCCACAACACGACCTAGTACAATGGCACCTTGGCTCTTGGCCAATCCACATATCAAGTTCCCGGCAGCGAAGAACACGTTCGAAAGAATTAGACCAGCGCGTCGCGAGTAGATGTCGGTCAATCGGCCGCTCAGCGGTTGAAAGGCAGCATTGGAGATCAGGTACGAGGTAGCTAGCCAAGAAAGTAGAGAGAAGGAATTGAACGACGACGAAATGGGCGCAGTGAGAGTTGCAACGATCGTCGTATCTGGCGCGGTTAGTTATGGACTCAGAACGATGCCTGGCCACCGAGCCAGTCGCGAGAGCCAGTACCTAATGCAGCCAGGAAGACACCTAACCATATACATCCAAGAGTTAGAATTAGTTCCTTGGAGCTGGGCTCCTGCCCTGGGTCAACTGCGGTGTCATCATGTTCATGGGTGTTAACGCCTGGGTGTTGAGTCTGTTCGCTCAGGAGTGGTGTCTGCTCTGAGACTGTAGAGTGGTCGGAGCGCATTTCTTTGCCTGAAGTTTGAGCCCAAGGCTGATGATGTCTTTGCTCTGGATCTGAGCGCTTGAGCCGGTAACAGTAACAGCCTTCCTTAACAATGAGCTCAGCATGGGTACGGAGATACAGACGCCCCTCTACTAAGCTAGTGGAGTACCCCTTCGTTTAATCAAGTCATCTAACCGCCATTGGACCGAATCCTTCAGTTGATCGGCCTTTTTTCGATGTAAGCGGACCGTACCTAAAGGAAAATTGATGTTAAAAAATATGTTTAACTGAAATCTATTTAATGTTTTGATAATGTTGTTTAGTTTGTGCTTAAAGACCAAGCAAGGCGGGGGCTTCAGGTAATGTCACCAAACTCTAAGTCCCACTCCTTGTTAAGGGGGACTAAAAAAGGAACTTCTTCCAAAATTTCTACCAAAACAAATGCTCACAAGCGGATTTGAACCGCTGACCTCATGATTACTAGTCATGCGCTCTACCAACTGAGCTATGCGAGCTAATTGGTTGAGCTATATTTGTCAAGCTTGCTTTATGTAAGCAAATCGAAGAAAGAGAGATGAGGCTAAAAATTGCTGGCACTCGAGAAAACAGGAGCTTAAAAAGAAATGCTCACAAGCGGATTTGAACCGCTGACCTCATGATTACTAGTCATGCGCTCTACCAACTGAGCTATGCGAGCTGATTGGTCGAGCTATATTTGTCAAGCTTGCTTTATGTAAGTTATCATGTGTCCCCTAATTCTTCTCTCCGGACTAGCAAGACTACCCTACATAGCAAGGGGAAGCAGAAAGGAACTCTCGCTAATAAAGGTTTATAGTCCGTAGACAGAGGTGATTGCAGATGGCTTAGGGTAAAGCGCATCACCAGCAATGACGAGATCCTTGGTTCGAAATGGCCCTAGGCCCCACCAGCGAGAGCATCTATTGAGTTGAAAAGCTAAATCAAAAGCTCAAAGCCATCCCAGGTTGACCCCGAACATACTCCGTAGACGGGATCGGGTTGGAGAAGGCACAATCGATGACATCATGGTGAAGATGTAGCGCGCGTGGTGTAAGTTTAGCTTTGTACATGAGGGCAAAAATATGGACAAATTAATGACAAGAGCTCGCATAGCTCAGTTGGTAGAGCGCATGACTAGTAATCATGAGGTCAGCGGTTCAAATCCGCTTGTGAGCATTTCTTTTTAGCTCTTGTTTTCTGTTTTTCAAAATGTCCGAGTGCGAGCAATTTTTTGCCTCCTCCCTCTTTCTTCAATTTACACAGCAGACATTTTCAATTCCCGGAGATTGCAACTGTCATATTGTCCCTGCTTAATCAGGACAATCGCCCAGTAGTAGCTGTAGGATTGCTGATTGCCCAGCGTTCCTGTTAGTGTTTCATTTCAGATTGACGCAACCTCCTCGCTCTCTATGTGAGACAATGTAATAAGAAAGCTCATTGTTTCGTTAAGCGCTCCAGAGTACGGAGTATGAGAAATTGAGTGATGCATGCTTTGTGTAACACAGGAGTTTCATTTGGGCTTTCTTCATTGGAACATATAACTTAGGCGAGCAATGTCGAGCTTCAAGACTACCATGTTAAATGCTGATGTCGATGGGCAATTAAGTTCCAAATGAGAACGTGAATCGATCCGACCTGCTAGCCTGTTGCTCTCACTCTGACTCCGTAGTCGGGGGGCGTGCATCAATCACTTAGAAATTGATACTATCCGTAGCCTTTATTTCCCCTTTTGTCTCGTCAACTGAATTGTAGATACAGAGTAGATGACTTGCCTTTTCCCCCCACATTCAAGAGCTCATGCCGATCTCCTCCGTACTGCAGTGGCATAGTGGACTTCGTTGTTGGAGCTGGTAGCTCCAAGACCAATCAATGAACCGCCTGGACGGGACAGTTGAGTAGCTTTCGCGGGCTAATAGACATCTAGCATTAGCCGGCCGATCTTGGCTCTTCATAAAGGACCATATGCGTGGCTGTGCTTGGAATTTGACCAAGGAGCATTTCATCAATCAAAGGAAAACAGTATTCAGCCGGTTAGGATCTAACCAGCTGTGGACAAGGGACAAACCGAAAAGGAGTACGAGACTGGACGATCGTACCTCCCATCCATCACGTGGCGGACAAGCCATCAAAACAGTCATAATAACCTTTCGCCTTCGTTTGTTGGGTATTTCATCACTTCCTTTACTCTCTCTGAGTTTCAGATCTTCACGCGAAATCGTCTTCAGCAAGGTTTATTTTTCGCTACTCTAATCGCTTCTTGCTACATTCTCTTCTCTAGCTACCAGCTCCCAAGATGCCCGGTGTTCGTATGTGAAGCTCCGCTAGCTCTCTCCTAACTTGCTGTCTGACCTGATGATCAGCTCCTGATGCTCTTCAGCAATTGAAGAAGGGCTTCAAAGCCATTTTCTCCCGCAGAAAGAAGAAGGCTCAGAATAAACAAACTGAGCCTGCCCCGACTGCGGACAAGCCTGCGGAACAGCCAGCAACCGCCGCCGCCGGCGGCGCTGCTGCTGCGGCCGCTGTACCTGCCACGGAAACCAAGCCAGCAGAGCCAGCTCCTGCTACGGATCCTAAGCCTGGTACGTTGTTCCGCTATATGTTGCTTCACCCGGTGAGTGGCCAATGTCTCACGAACTAATACTTTGCAGAGCAAGTAGCCGTGGCAGATAAGTCAGAAGGGGCGGCAACACAACCCACCGAGACGCAGCCCCCGCCTTCCACTACTCCAGCTCTCGAAGCGAAGACAGAGACGCCAGCCCCAGAAATAAAGGCCGAGGCTCCTGCTCCGGAGCCCACGACAGCCGCTGCTGCTGCTCCCGCTGCTGTTCCGGAGACAACTACTCCCGCGGCTGCTCCGACGGAAACTGCCCCTGCTGCACCAACCCCGGCTGCTGAAAAGCCCGCTGAGACCGCAGAGCCGCCCAAGAGTGAGTAATTGGATCTCAGACCATCGAGGTCGATTATGCTGACCAAAAATAGCCGAGGAAGCCAAATAATCGTTTGCTTTGCGCCAGATATCATTTCTGAACGAAATCTCCAAACAGTCCCTCTTAATTCGATCTTTACTCTGCACTTTCGCGTTTTCGCAGTAGCGACCAGTCGCCTCATAATACCCCATGTTTCTTTTGTTGAGCTGATCTCCCATGATTGCCATTGTCGTTGCCGTGGTTGCGTTGCATAATATACCCCTCCTTTTGTTTATATTGTGCCTGGTCAGATAATTAGAGCAATGCAGCTCGCTTGATGACCTGTATCACCTACTATTGTAGTCGTGGTAGATCATCGCAAGTGGGTGAATTGCAGGCATAACCGTTGACAGTAGTTCAATCGCTAACATCAGAAGCATCTTTCGTCTCCACTTCGGCGGAATCTTGCTTTTGTCCCGATGCAGCTGCAGCTGCAGCTTTCAATTCTCGTGCTTTTTGTCTCCGTTTGATTTTTCTCTCCCGATTCTTGCGATTTCGCTTCTCGGCTTCATTGTGCTTTGCCTCCTCTGCGGCCTTTATTCGCTTCCGCAACTGGATACGTCGTTTCTTGCCGGGCTTCTTTCGAGACATGGGGACTTTTGTCGGAGGATTCGTAACGTAGATAGTTGCGACTGCAGTTGGATCTTCAGATACAGGAGGTAACTTGGTATGCTGCCGGTTGAGATGTGTCACCCGCCATGGTAGATGGCAACCGGGCTGATTGAAGCATCAAATTAGCGAATCAAACCAAACCCAAGTGAGTCGATAGAAAGCCCAACACTTACCCAGGGCACCTCCGACCACTCCAGCATCTGCTGTCCGGTCACAGCAACTTCCTCGAATTGCTTCTTCCTAATGGTCGAAGCCGAATCCTGCTTCGCGCCAGACCCAGTAAGCAGCTCCGGCGTCGTAAAGTAATACTGCCACCCTCGGAAGGGATTCAGAAATCGCCCCTCCCCATCAACCGCCCCAGGCGTCGGCGAGCGTAACCGAATTCTCAATTTTTGAGCACCCCCGCTTACTGCTTTCTCTCCGCCTTCCGTTGCAGCTGTCTTCTCGCCCTTAGTTGCAGATTTCGGCGCAGCAGGGGCGCTAAATAAACGGAACTCGAATTCCTGCTCCTCATCTTCTTGTTGCTGGCCGTCTTCCTGTGATTTGGTTGCTGGAGCGGTGGACTCTGCAGGCGCTATCAATGCATCAAGGTTGAGGAGTTCGCCCAAACGTTGATGGGCGTCTTGGAATGACGAGTCCGACTGCGGTGAGGGTGATCGTGAAGTCGAATCTCGCGAGAGGAGTTCATCGCGACGAACGCTGTAGAGCAGGCTCAAAATTAGTCAAAGCATGGACAGCTGGATTTGGAGATCACGGTACCGTTTCGCGTCTGGGAGGTCGAACATATTGTAGAATTTCGTGAGGATCTTTTTAAGAATTTAGGCCATTGAAAAATGAGTCAAGGCCCCTTTTGCCTGCCAGGCGATTGTGTTGGTCTAGAATACAATGCTCCGTAGAGAGGTAGTGCGGAGCGAAATGCTGATTCCGAAAATTGTGGAAGTGTCCTTTTCCACGCACGGGTATCGCTACGGCCACGTCCGCGGGGATCTGCAAGTCTGCATCAAACCCAACCGACGCCAACTTCCTTCGCTCTTGGGAGCTGTATGATGTATTCCATCGCTTATGGAGGGTTTGACTGTTCTCAGAAAGCCTTGGCCTAATGTCATCCTGCTAATGCTGACCAAGATGTAGATACTCTGTTCAAAGGGGTAAAGCAACATGTGGCCATTCATCGAACTGAATGGCTGTTTCAATTCCACAATAGAATCTGAGCAGTGAATGAAGGATAGTTGCCTACTTCCGTGAAGAAACATAGCTTCTATCTGGAATACATCGTTCACCATGGTCTGGTGATTTATATACCAGGGCTGGTCTACTTCCCTTGCTCCATGCTACTATACTTTCTCCTCTCCCTCATCATCAATGTCCTGGATGAGATCTGCTGAGGTTGACCCCTTGACCACCAAGCCAATGTGTTCTCTTTTATCTCAAACATGATCCTTGCGGAGATAGTCGAGCTATTGCTGTCTGGCATTATCTTCTGAGAGGAATGAGCGCAAAAATGGGCAAGTGAGTTGAAGGCTTCCGGCCCATGAATCCTGTCCAAGGGAGGAATGAAAAATACTAGTAGAAACAACGAACTACGGCGCATTTGATTGAATCCGTTATCGTTGCTCACGGAACGGGCTCCAATGCTCGCTGGCTCCAGGACCAGGCAATCTGAGCAGAAACATTGCGTTTCATCACCAGCTATATGATTTTTCGAATGGTACACATATATAGACTAAACACAACGACCACCGTCCACCTGAATCCCAATCGTCATTAGTTAGTGCTGATCTAAAATAAATGAGGTAGATACCTACCTCCAAGTTCACTCCCGTGATAAACTCCGCCTCATCACTCGCCAGAAAGCAACAGGTATTCGCAACATCCCGAGAAGTACTGGGCCGACCCAGCGGCACAGTTGAAACAAAGGCCGCTCGGTTCTCTTCTGTATCTGGCTTACCAAGGAATAAATGTGTCCTACAAAGGTGGGTCATTTTCAAGTCTTCACATCAGCGGTGCGCAGCTTTATACTTACATCCCTGTACTACCAACAACAGGACAGACACAATTAAAACGAATCTGCTTGGGCCCATACTCGACGGCCATCGTCTTGGTCGCATTGCTAACAGCTGCCTTTGAAGCATTATACCACGTCAAGCCTGGGCGGGGACGCAGTGCAGCCGTCGACGAGATCTGGATAAACGACCCGGGCCGGTTATTCTCAAGGAAGTACGGGACTATGACGCTCGTGGACAGATAGATCGATTTGATATTGACATTCATGCACAGGTCAAAATCTGCATCGGTGACTTCAGCGGTGGGTTTATTGCTATAGGTCGCACCAGCATTATTGACAACAATGTCGAGTTTCCCGTATGCTTCCAGTGTTGCTTGCAGCAATGCCTGCCAGGACTCCCGCCTCGTCACATCGGTGAGGACGAACTTGCTGTTCAGCTCGGCTGCGGCTTTCTCTCCGCTTTGCTGCGATAGCTCTGCAATGATGACATTGGCGCCTTCCTCGACGAACTTCTTTGTGATGCCGTAGCCAAAGCCTGATCCGGCGCCTGTCACAATGGCAACCTTTCCTTCCAGCCGTCCGGGCATGATTGATATATTATATGGCTCGTGCGGTGACCAGATTTGAACACACCTGAAGGAGACTAGATCCTGATATGTCAAAGAGTCTGAGTGGTTGATGATATCAGCAGCTACGGTGCATATGTGCTGTTGATGGAGGGGAACTACATATAATGCGGGGCCCACCAAAAGCACCAGGAGACAACAACAAGAGGGGACAAGGTCGTAGCGCCTTTCCGTACAGAGCCTAGATTATTTCGCTGTCAGAATATGATGATGAGCGGCTCCATTTCTCGAATTAGTTCACAAAAGGGAGTGATCGTCTGCTTTCCTGTCGAAAAAAAGCCCCTTTTCATGGCCAGTGACTGGGCAGGAGATCCCCGAGAAAATAAGGCACCAGAAAGGACCTTGAGCGCGACTAAGGGATCTAGAGTGAGAGAAAAGAAATTGGCAGATAAAGGGAGACAAGCACTCTAGCTAGTCGTATGTATTCTTGTTCATTGTGGTTAACTAAAGTAGTAGAAATCGTGGTTATCTCAAAGCTGCGCCAGTGATGCCTGAGAGGGCCTGAAAAGCATGAATATGATCCGATGTAATGGATAGACAGTGGAAGCATGGGGATGTTTCCCATCAATAGATCGATTTTTTCACCAGGTCATTTAGGTTGTGAAGGACGGCGCCGATATTCCAGATATCAAGGAGAATATTGGCTGACGAAGAATGAGGCCAATCTGGGGTTCAATGCCATCGATGCGCACGGACCAATCGAAAACACCGGATTCCGTCACGGATTCAGTCGATGGCTGGTGGTCGTGCGACTCCAGACAATTCTCTATCTAACCTTCCCAGCATCACCCGTCGGTATCTTGCCGCGGCCGATATTTGATATTGATATTCTTGCGTTCCTTGCATAATCTTTCTCGTCATTCGAATATCCGCTACGGCTCGATCTTTCCGTTGCGAAGCACGTGCGACTATCCCATTACCCAACACTCGATACTCGATCGTCGCTCTATAATACATCAACATCAATGGGCGTCTGTGCTTCTTGCCTCGGGCTAAATCGCCGGGAAAGCCACGATGTATGTGTTCTTGATTCAGCACCAAACAGAGAAAAGGACCATGCCGCCGCAATCGCATGATGCGGCTGGTCACAGCGATTATCAATCCCCAGCCCTCCAAAAGGCATACTAACAGTCCGGATCACTAGGCCGAGTCCTCGCGTCTGCTGGACGACGATATCTACCAGTCCGGCTACGGCTATGGAGCTCTTAATCACGCGAATCAGCTCAACAACCCCGACCCGGAGAATATAAAGCGCGAACGAGAAGCCCTCGAAGCAATCTGCCAGCGAACCTCAGAGTGAGTATTTACCTGCTGCTCTCTCGTCTCCAGGCCAGCCAGCTACCTCGACTTCCGGACAAGAAGCTGACCCAGACACCTAGTTCCGTCATCGACATCTGGTCCCTCCAACCACAACCTCATCTCCAACCCCGCGCGACACTACACGGCTCAGTGGCCTCGAAAGCAGGTTCCAGCAGCGACGACCCCGTCAGAATAATCACGGCCGACCCATCGCCGTCACCGACATCGTCCAAGTCCGGCGCTGCCAATGACGGCACTGTCCACAAGCACTGGGGAGAGGTGGTCATCAACCCGAGGAAAGGAAAGAAGGCCCGGCCAGGTCTGAACACAGATGAGACGAACGGCCGAGATGTCTTTGGAGTTTTGAAGGTGACGTGAAACCTGCGGACGAGGGGGAGACGATCTCACGTTGATACGCTGCATTCCTTTTCTTCGTTCTACTGGGTCGCCGGCCGACGGTTGTTTTCTACTTTCTTCGCTTCGCGGACTTCGACTCTTTCGCTTCTTTGTCGGGTGCTTTCGGCCAATCCCTTCTTTTCTTTCCGTTCCGGTCACTTGACAAAGATTAATACCCTCTTGCGTCTTTTGATTCTCTCTTACTATTATTACACTTGTCAGGTATACATTTCCTTTGTGTTGCATATTCATCATGTTTGGGTAGATTCCATTTTCCGACACTCCTCAGTCAAGAGGCAGTATCGTGTTATTAGATAGTGACATAGCTAATTGGCATGTCTGTGCACGCACAACACTATTAACTGATCTTAAGTCTCCGAGTAATGTCTCCATCTTCAGGAAAATTGATCCTACGGCAGTTCCTGCAGAGGCTGGTACTGTATAAATCATCCTGGCTTATAAACATGCATATAATACTAGATGCTGAAATGAACCATGAGTACAGAGGAAGTGAGCAATCCAGATGCACACAATGTCAGACAGCAGACAGTTCGCCAACTCCAGTTGATTGCTGATTAGCTGATCGTAACCTGGACCTCGGCTCAGCGGCTGCAAACGTCAGTTGCGCCTTGAAAATCAGTAATAACTCCGCCAGTAACGCCCGCCAGCCTTGTTCCGGTAGAATAACAGGTGAATATAAGAAAATAGATGGCATAAATGCAACAGAATGCGCACCGGGTTCGAGCAACCGACCAAGATTCGATTGATCTACACGTCATCCATCGTACCGGCTGGCTCCTCAGGGCCAGATTCATAACTTCCAGCCGAGCTTAGATCATCTTCGGACTCAGTATCCTCTCCGGCTTCATCGACTGCCTCTTTGCTGGCATACTTGGCCACGTATTCTGTCAACCCAATCAGTAAGCGTTGCCCCGAGCCAACCACTGAAACACATACCCTTCACTTTCGCCTCGTAGCTCTTGGGTTCCCTCATTAACATCGCAGCAGCCTCGCCATTGAGCGGGTCTGAAGGGTTCGGGTAGCGCAGGAGCTGAGGGAGGAACACCTCGAAAATGTTGATCATATCGTACATCGGCGACCAAGTTTGGTTGATAACATCAAGACACACTGAGCCGGACCTGCGTAAAATGAGAGGGTTAACGTTGGACTTTGACTTTTGAGCAATAGCTGGGATGCCTCACAGTTCATCGATATTCGGGTGGAAAATCCGGTTCACGAAACCAATGCTCGGACTCTTGTAGGGATATTGATCGGGTAACTCGACATGAATCTTCCAGTGACCGCCGGCGAACGGTGCTATTTTTGGTCAGTAGATGCGCAGTTTTGAGGGAGGTTGCAAAACTCACTCTCTTCAGGGCCCTTGAAGCGCACGTAAAATTCTTGCCTATGCGGAAATCATCAAGTCAACAATCTGCGTTGATGGTTGGCCAGGAAGGTTTAGAAATCGCAGCATACACTGTCCAGAGGTTAGTAGTCAAATCCAGTGGCGAGGCCCAAATTACCCACTGTTGTCATTAACCAATGTCACCTCGTAGTCACTCATCAACCTGGAACCATATCAGTAAGGTCCAAGAGCCGACATGGAGTTCGAAAATCGTTGGCTCGAATGTGCAAGCAGATGTGAATTCCGGAAAGTAGGGTCAATGGACGTTCAAGACGGGGGTGGCATACATCCTGCCATTTGGTTAGCTTTTGTCCACTGGGTTGCCTTCAAGAGGAATCCTAGCATACTTCATAACCTATACAAAGAGAAAAAGACGACTTGTCAGCTTTTGTTCATTTGCGAGCCGTGGCCCTCAAGGGGATCATTCGATTGAACTCACATCGGTCTCGATTCTTCGCTTCGGGCTGCTCATTTTGAGAACTTGCAGACTGCTCTAGCCTTATATCCAATGATATTCAAATATGGATTGCAAAGAAAGGTGTAAATCGCTTGAAGTCGATTGAGAGACTCGTGCCCAAAGGGTTCTCCAAGACCGGAGCGGGGAAGCAATGAGCGGGGGCAAGATAACGAGCAACGGCGCGCGATCAAAGAAAGGCTTGACGCAACGTAAAACAAAGACCGGCGGGACGAAGATCCTTGAGAAAAAGACAGTAGTAGTAGAATATCAAGGCAGTACAACGGGAAGGACGAGGTGTTGGTCAAGGAGATATAGTGAGCAGTAGACCACGGAGAAATGGGGAGCCAGTAACTACAGAGAAGACTAGTACTAGTAACTTATAGTCGTAGAGGCAACTCGAGAATGATTTATCGAGTGATGGCACCATTTAGTCGGGCAGTCATGTGGCATGGGATGACTCAGCGACGGCTCCTCTGTCTTCTTACCAAATCACTTCCTTGCTCTCCCTGATCTCTCTCTGGATAAAGCTCGTGCTTCGGATTCTTCCACCGAAATGATCTACCCTTTTCAGGACGGAATTGATCGCTATTTGGTTTGCTTGAGTTGTATGCTGTCAATGTAAATTCGATACGTATTGAATAGATGGGCCAGCGTCATCAACCGGCCTTTTAGTGGGGTATTGGCGATCTTTCAGGTTATCAGCCGTCGATAACAAGTGTCACTACGTCAATAGTCGGTGCTTGTGATCCATCCAAAATAGGGTGGCATCTAATAGTCATCGTTGTACACTATCACTCCACTGGACATCAGAAATCAAGTCGAAAGAATCGAGATGTTATCGCTTAAATCCCATATCTTTTCTCTTGGTATTCATGCTACACTGTTGGTAGAGTGCCTGAGCCATGGTGATCGGACCGAGCCCAACTAAGCCCTGTAAACGAACTACCTAGTAGCTAAGGTACAAATTAGCTCGTAGATCCACCGAACAACTCTCCTAGTGCAACAACAACCTCCTGTAAACATTTCATCAGTCTCAACACAATCATCTACGGACTGCAAGTGATAGCCTCGCGCATGCCCCCAGCACATACCACAAAATGGACTCTCCATCACCAGAAAACGCCTCGGGGACAAGTTCTCCAAATCCGAGACCCCCACACATAGCTGGAAGCAGACTCAGTCATCGACCCGCTAGTCAAAGAACAGATTCAGATTCAAATAGCAGAAGTACCCCTATCCCGGACGATGAGCATGGAGCAGATTTACCAATGACCATGTCCGCCTCGGTGGTGCTTAGCAGCCTACCGCGCGATGCCCATCGAGCTTTGGCGGATGCAGAGGCTGTCGATACAGGAAAAGGTAAGGAAATATGTGTGGGTATTACTTCGGAGATTATCAATAGACTCACTTTAATCGGAAATCTGTGTCTTCGTCTAACTCTGAATAGTGACTGTTCGCTTTCAGCCTCTTCCTTCAGCACCTATTCTGAAGAATCGGGTTTTCAAGATCAGTGCGTCGCAGAAATTCGAAACAGTTGTCAAATTTCTCAGGAAGAAGCTTGACTGCAAAGACACAGATTCTGTCTTTTGCTACGTCAACAGCGTCTTCGCTCCGGGGTTAGATGAAGGTGTTGGGGGTTTATGGAGAGTGAGTATTCTTGCTACAGGCGCTTCTGCACTAAAAGTATAGACTAAAAGCTTTCATAGTGTTTCAAGACGGATGATCAATTGATTGTCTCATACTCTATGACGCCAGCGTTCGGCTAATAAAACAGATGCACATATTGCAATGCAACATGCAGGCATGAGGAAAACACATGGGTTCACTTCATCGGTAAATTTTCGAGATCCGAAAGATAAAGCCGCCACCACACATGATACCATTAACGGTCATAATCATTAAGAACAAGGTACATCGAGCCCACAATACCATAAGTTTTGATTTGGTAAGGGCAAGAAACGAAGCGCCGGAAACTGAAGAAACGCCGAAGAGAAGGATCATTGAGTACAACTGTTTGGGAACCGAAAATTAGGAGCGCTTGATCTGCTCAGCAGCTTTCTCGAATTCCGCGAGTTCCTCTTTGGCTATCGGGTAAGTGTACTCCTGCGAGGGGTACGCGCGAGTCTTGACTTCTTCTCTGTACTGTTCGATTCCTTTGATGGTCTCACCCCAAACATCGGCGTATTTCTTGACGAACTTGGGGAGGAAACGACCGGGAGGATAGTTGCCAGTCATATCAATCTGCACCAGGACCTGTCCGGAACAGCCGTTGCCTGCCCCAATACCAATGGTGGGCACAGAGAGCTTCTTGGTAATGATAGCGGCAATCTCAGCCGGTACTGCTTCGACTACAATCATGAATGCACCAGCCTCTTGCACGGCCAAAGCGTCTTTGAGCAACCGCAACGCACCGGTTGTCGACTTTCCCTGCACTCTGAAGCCTCCCAGAGCATTCTGGCGTTGAGGGGTGAGTCCGATGTGTCCCACAACAGGGATTCCAGCCTGCACAATCCGCTTAATGGTCGGCGCCATCTCCTCGCCTCCCTCGAGTTTTACGGCCTTTACGCGACCTTCCTTCACGATGCGAATGGCCGATTGCACAGCCTGTTCCGGCGACACTTCATACGAGCCCATGGGGAGATCCGCAACCTATAAATATCCGCGCGTCAGCCAAGCCTCGAACGCACCAGACCACATCCCGCGATAAGTGTTACGAACCGTGAAAGCGCTTTTAGCCGCGCGCGCTACACTCCGACAATGCAGCAACATCTCGTCCATTAACACCTCGCTCGTGTCCTCCATCCCAAGGGCGACCATAGCCAGACTGTCCCCGACCAAGATCATCTCCATCCCAGCTGCCTCGGCAACATGGCCGCTGGGAAAGTCATGCGCGGTGAGCATCGTGATCGGTTCTCCCTTCTTGTAGAGACTCCGTAAGGTCTGCATCGTCACTGTCTTCCGGGGGTTCACCGGTGTCGCCCCCAGCGGCGAGTGGGAACTATGTCGAACATGAGGCGTGCATGGTGAGGGAACAACATGGGCTGGGATGTAGCGACCAGAGAGGACAAAAGGAATGATGGGAGATGAACCAGGCCGCGCCACAACCCCCCTGGCAAGCGATCGTAACGGCAGCGTCAACTGTGTCGCTGTCCGAGACGAAGCCATAACTGTGATAGAATGAAGTGTATCCCAAGAGAGATAAAAGATCACAAGAGGTTGAATGCGGGGAAGGGGCAAAGAACTCCCACGCCGTCGGTATCAACGTCGGAACAATGGCGTCACTACCCGAGAAGGAAAGGACGAAGTATAAGACTCGATCTTAGCAAAAGTACGGAGTACTTCAAATGCAAACTATGTTGGTAAGAAATAATAATTCTGTAGCTCAATAAAGAGCGATTTATGAGAAAAGAGTTCCCAGTCCCTCATCCCATGATTCTGCGTCGAGAGTTATATCTCCCGGACGTGCTGGTATATGCAGCGTAGCCCGCAGCATCCCAGAGTTCGATCGCGTGTACAATACTTTTTTTTTTTTTACCTTGGTGGTTCCATTCTGCCGGATGTTTAGGGTATTTCTTCCACTTCTCGGTGCTTCGGTGGTGGTATTTCTGTGCTTCTATTGGTCGATCAGCGGTAAAGTGGATAGTCCTTCTCCGCCGGCACTTGGCTTATTCCGGCCCGAGATTTTATGCAGCCGAGGCTCGGATATAGCCGTTTACTGTAGGCAGTAGTACTCAAGTGTACGATGTACAGAGCAGAACGAGATTTGAAGAGTTATTTGATTATTCTGGTGGCTAGAAATCAGTGGCCATGACGACTGAAAATGAGCCATATGGGGAAAATAATCAGGCATGCAATGGAACGGAAAAAAGAAGCAGCCACCTAGATATGCATTCAGCCTTATGCAGCCCACCCCTTAACAACATCCGCCGATGGAAATGCATGAGGACAAAAGCAGAGAAGAAAAAGAATACGATGAAAACAAGGACCTTGATGAATTAGTCAACCCAACTACCGAGGCTTCTTCTGCATGGTACACGCATGCAGCATGCTGGACGGATTCCGCGTCGCCAACCTCCAAATATGTGTGTGATTCGTTCGCTTTTTGTCTTGTTTTCTTCATTCCGGATATAGTATGCAAAAGTGGTCGCTTAAAGGCCGTGACGTGCTTTTGGTTCGTGAAGTCCTTGCTGCAACATCAAAACCTCGGAGAAAATCCAACGGACGCCGGCTGTATGGTAATATGGTAACCTGGTACATATGAAATACAATGGACCGCCGAGCGGTAAAAGAAGTAAACATGAGTAAGAAAATATGAAGAGTGAGACCGACGCAAAATCAGGGATGAGAATGAATGAAGGATGCGATGCATGTGCATATCGCCGCAAGTAGATTCATGTTTTGGCACTGCGAGAGGAGTTCTTGCGTCTTGCTGAGCTTACAATGAACCGAGTCCTTGTTGACAAGCTCGCCCGCTTGGAGGAGGGATCACGAGCGAGCGACAAGGAAGAGACTCATGGTCTCGCATCCGCTGGATCAAGGGGAAAATGCATCTTCGTAGTCGTACTCGTCCTTCAGAGGCCTCTCCAGCTCGTCAAGCAGTGCATCTAGGTCAGCCCAGTTCGCCTTGTTGGTTGCGAATTTCCGATGCTTCCTTGTCATGATGTGCTAGACAAAAAGTCAGTCATTGTCAGTCCCTTCAACATGAACGATTCTTACCTCCTCAAAGTCATCGAACTTGTCCCTACAATTCTCGCAGTATCCAGGCTTAGGGTCTCTCCTTCTTTCCTTTTTCTTTGGAACTGGGACTTTTCGAAGATCAGTCCGCCGCTTAGCCGCACCGTTGCCTTCGGACTGAGTAGTGTCCTCTTCTTGCACGTGTCCCAGCTTCTCCTGCGTGTTCGCCTGGCAGAGTTTGTTCGATTGGTAGTTTGACCACTTTAGGGTCGCTGAGGTAGACGTTGTGGGATGGGGAGACAGCACGGTACCGGTTGCCAGACCGCCGTTGCTCTTCTCAAGTACCTTTCTCTTCAATTCATGGACTTCTTTGCTCAACCCAGCTTTGGCCCCAGGTGCTGCGGCGGTGGAGGAAACCATCTGCGACCGAATAGCAGACGTGATATTCGATGGCTGCATACCTGACGCGGCAGGCTCACGACCAGCATAAAATGGTCCTGTCCGATGGAGCGGAGGAGGGACGAAACTCTCGGAGCTTTTCCTTGGTGATTCTGGTTTGATCTGCAATGGCCTCTGTACGTCTTCTGGCGTCGTCCGCTGTGCTGATTCGACACCATTGTCACCAGTCTTGGTCTCATTCATCGGGTCCATATTGTCTTTATTCACGGGGCCTAAGTCCGGTGCGTCGAATTTAGGCACGTCTTTAACAGCAGCAGCTTTCAGAGGAACATTCTTCTCCTTCTCTTGCTGGCGTGCCCGTTGCCTTTCGATCTCTTTCTTGCTGGGAGGTTCGTCGATGAAAGGGCACTTCCCCAGCGGAGCACTTCTGAATTGTGGCCAGATACCATCCTGCCTCCTTGCAACTTTGGGATATTCTCGCACCATGACAGGCTTGGTCTTTTCATCCATATCGTGGATGTAGATGAACGGCCCTTTGAACATCACTAGCTCCTTCAACGACGACAGAGGATCCCTATCCAAAGGACGATTGAGGAGCTCCTTCCTTAAGACCTGCGACAGGTCTATCTCGCCGCGGGCCTTAGTGTTCCCACCAACAGCATTATGGTTGCGGGTCGAATGACCACTGTGACCACCGGGATCCCCGTCATTGATAGCAGCAATCATACGTTGTAACTTCTCAAGAGCCCATATTTTCATTTTCATCCGACGAGCCCGGTACAAAACATCCATATTGCTTTGCTCACGTCGCGGGTCCGTCTTCAAGGACATATGAAGGTGCGTATCTGCGGTTTTCTCGAGCAAGCACGGGTTGACGGTATCAACAGGAGTCTGACCAGCAGATGTAGCATTCAATTCTGCAGGAGTCACGGTATCTATTTCAGGCGGGATAGGACGAGAGGTGACGACGTGGGTGACATCGCGGGAGAAGAATTTTTCTTCACTCTATACACTTCAGTCAGCCATTTTTATTCCTCCATTGCATTTGAACAGCTATGTAATCAATTGCAGGAGAGGGACAAGCATGTTGAAAAAGAACGGGTCACTATCGGATCAAAAAATTGAAGGGGACACTCACAGCTCCGAGGGCAATGACCTGCCTCGAGCACTTGGCACGAACGTCCTCTGGGATAGCATCGAAGTAGAAAACGAACTGTGGAAACGCCTTCCGATAATGTCTCTGCCATTGCCGAATAGAATCCACCGACTCCGCGGATGGCCTCTCCTGTTTCGTTCCTTTGAGCTGAGCCTGCCGTTCCCTATCCCTTGCAGCTACCAATTTTTTTTCGAAGGCACTTGGCTGTGCGTTGTTCGAACGCCGTGTGAAGAGTTTGGAATCAGTGGTACTCGATTTAACCCGGGCTGGGGAGCGCGCATCCTGCTCCGATCCATCGATCACCTGCTTCTTGGGAGGAGGCTGGCCGTATGGTATATCGATCGGAGCATTCGTTGTCCGAGGACGCTTTGTAGGGACAAGACCCGCCCTGTGAGGGGAATTGGTAGCATTCGGCACGTTGGCGAGAGGTCGGCGAGTTGACATATTAAAAGAGGTTTGAGGCGAAGGTGGTATGAATACTGCTGCCATATGGTAACAATACGCGAGCACTTTGTAGTAGCTAAACGCGGTGAGTCGAGGTGCCAGCACAAGAGGGGCACTCTAGGCTGAGCACACGACTAGCTACACGTCTCGAAGGGGAATCCTCAATTAGAGAGAAGCCATTGTACGTGGGACGGGGAGCAATGGGCAAGGAACGTGCAGTAGAAGAAGGATACGAGGCGAATACCTCGAGTCTGTAGGAGGATAATATGACAGGCAATATTCGAGTCCGGAGACTTCTTAGGAGGTTGGACGTCGGATGACAGGGAGAACAGTAGTTGGAGTAAAGGTAGGTAGCATGTAAGGTGAGGCAGGGCAGTACGTAGATAGGTCGACAGAGAAGAGAAGCGAAGCAGAGTAGACTAAGCGTGTGAGGGAAGCCCGGTGGAGACGGGTTTGTTTTGGCTGCTGGGGATGTGTGCCAAACAACCAAAGAGCGTCGCGCGAAGCATGAACACCCACTCACTACCTTACCTTATAACTATCGAACGATTTAGACCCTTTACAGGACGACTACGAATGTGCATAGAACATTCTTTACATTAAATCTACCTACTGAATTTTGTTCCAGCCACCGCGCCTTCAAGGAAATTGACACAATCAGTCCGCTTCTTGTCCTCTAACCAGGTTTTTCCTCCGAAGTCGTGTTCTGTCCGAATTACTCCACGCGTCGACTCGATCGTACCAAATGGTACCTTACTTACTGGTCAATCGAATTTTACAGACACAAAGAACTGACGGCTCATTGTTTGTTTGTTTTCACCGTTGACCCTACTACAGTATTTACATCGACACGTCTTTCGTTTGTGGATGCTGCCTCTCAAATCAATTTGTATCATACAATCACATATGAAAGGGTATCTATATACTACAGGGATTATTTCATCTAGTCCCGAAGGGCCTCGATATCATCAACCTATTCGACATTCTATATTAGTAGCCGTCTTTGGAGAAAGAGTACGGTCTGACAAATTGTCTTCTGAGATTGTCTAAAGAGAATAAAATTTGAACTCACCTCTTTCACTGCCTCTGTGGTCAAGACAATCGGGTTATCATCCCCAACGCAAACACTGTCTTCGATACGGATCCCGATGCCTCGGAATTTTTCTGGCCATCTATCGCTGTCCGGAACGTATATTCCACTGGAAATGTAAATTAGAAACGTGTCGAAAGTGAGACCGAAAGAATACCTACGGTTCAATGGTAATGCATTGGCCTGCTTTGAGATTCTGGCTTCGAGGATATCCGGAACAATCATGGACATCTAGCCCAATGTAGTGTCCCAGATGATGAGGGAAAAGGATACCCATTGACTGTTCGAGACAGACGCGGATCAGCTTAACTAATTTGGGCAATGCCTGACATCAAATCGACTTACGTTGCCTGAGACATCAAATCCGAGTTGCTGCAATTGGTCCTTGAGACCATTCTCGGCGATACTGTGCAATCTGTCCAGTGAAAGTCCAGCGCTCTCTCTGCAGAGTGAGACGCAACTGCGGTGCACGTTCAACACTGCATTGTATAGGTCGCGCTGAGGGTCGGAGAACTTGCCATTAACCGGCCAAGTTCGAGTGATATCGGATATGTATGTGCCCCATTCCTGTAATCTATTAGTGTCAGAGTCAGTTTCCGGGATAGAGGAACGACTAACCCCACCCCCGTCGACAAGAACCATGTCGCCATCCCTTTGTCTCATATCAGCCCAGACCCTCAAACATGGTTAAAAATGGGCGTACCTTAAGATATCGTCATTTCTCGTATAATGGATACTCAGAGCGTTCTAAATCTCTTAGCCTGGATAGGGAGAGAACAGGTGACGAGGTACTCACAGAGCCACCTGCAACCACGGGGACAAAAGCACTGCCATCGCACCCGTTCACTTTGAAATTGTACTCCAGGAAGGAAGTCAGGTCCTTCTCTTTTGTAAAAGTCTGCCTCATGGTTTCTGTAAAGGCTCGTCCAGATGCCTGTCCAACTCGACGTAATTGGACGACCTCATCCTCACTTTTGAACACTCGCATCTCGTTTAAGATGTTACGCAAGGGCTTGACTTTACGATAATCGACAATCTTCTTCAGCTTCTCGGATGCACCAGTGGGGCCGTATAAGAAACGATGCAAGGAGGATCTCCCGGGGTTAAAGGCAGGAATATCTGTGTAGATCTCTGTGGCCCCCGAAAGAATCGTTGGGAGAATATCCCCAATGCGATCAATATCACCCGTCTGTTCCAATAGTTAGCTAAGCTTTCCGCTACACTCCAAGCCAATCTTCCAACCTCATCCGCATTGAAGACGTCAATCGCTGCTTGTGCGCCGGAACGAGCTCCATCCCAGAGCTCAGCCTTCGGATCCTTTTCACGAACATAGAGGTGGAATATGTGATTGTCCCCGGATCCATCATTCGCTATCTATTGTAAGCACTACTTTAGTCGCCCTCAAATGGTATCTTGATCTCACCGATGATAGCTAGCGCATTAGGTTCGTTGAATCCTATTGATAAAGACATCGAGTCAGCTACTTGTTTTATTCTTGACTTGCAATGAAAACAGACCGGTAAGGTAAAAGAAGTTGGAATCCTGGCGATAATTGTTGAATATGCCATTAGCGCGGTAAGTAACTTCCGAGGCAGCTAACACGGCGATTGCATTCTTGGGGAGCTTGTTCGCAAGTCGGGAGCGACGTTGAGCGTATTCCAGCGCCGTGATACCGGGAGTGACTAGTTTCAAGTCAACCCACCCAATCTTTGTTATGTCACGATCGTGTTGAAATCAGGAGCATATACACACGTTCTCCAGGATTCAATAAATGAGGATGCGTCTCGTGAAGCGGTTGTCCGAATTTAAGCTCCGCGGCGGAGATCGAAGCGTATGAACGGAGAAGGGACGGCTGCTTGCTCATGCGACAGCCTCGAAGCACTGGCCGGATTGAGGTGCTAGCTGCGACGAATGGGATCTGGCGGCGGAAATATCGAGGCCATTGCTGGGCAATGGTTTTGCATGTCGACATGCTTATCGAATGCTCTCAGTAGGTGAAACGCCAAATTGTTGGATTAGTATCGGTTTATCTCCAGCGAGCTCAAGGTTATCGGTGCTCTTGATTGTATGCCTTAATGCCTGAGGCTTTCACCGGCGACGCCAACCAATCGCCGTGCAGATGTTTGTTATTGGGGCCCCGCAAGGACTTTCCTGTACGGGCGATGTCTTGCGATCCCGCCCCGCCTTCTCGTGTTCATGATCATATTCGACATCCCAGGATCTTTATCATGATTCAATTTGTAAGAATCATTGGAGTCTAGATATGAACTTCATGGGTATAGCCAGTAGCTCATTGCTCCATTGGTGCGCGAGCGCCACATGATGGTGAGCATCATTCTCGGAATCCCAGGTCATAACTATTCCGAAATATAGATATATGGCTGCGGTCCTGCGAAAAACGAGGTCTGCATTGGAGCAACATATCCCATGACTCACACTACTATTTGAAACTCCTCTTAAATCAAGCCGCAAACACTGATACTGGATGAGACGATCATTTCTGAGTTGCCTTTTGCATAGAACCTGCTTCGACAATCCACAATGGGAAGAACACTCACATATCCAAAGCGAGATGCGAACACGGTGAATCGATACAAACATCGAGGTATGAATGAATAAGATGACATTTTCATGAGTATACTAAGCTTTGGAATAAATCAGCAACGTATGATCTCGGTGCTATCCATTCTATCATCAATTCAAGTCAAGTGCTCCATGTGTCATTCAGTCCAGGGCCTTCGGATCCGTTTCCCGCCATGTTGCCCATGATCGGTCAGATGGGCTCGTTTGACTATCCGTCGGCTGGATTCGACGAGCCTCTAGATTGCTATCTACATGGATATGTCAGTTCACGAATCATGAATCTAGCGCGAAAATCGGAAGGAGACGGATTGCCCCTCTGCATCGCTGCGAGTAGGGTAGACGGATTAATTCTATCTCTTACACCGAATTCCCATAGCTACAACTACCGCTCCGCCATCCTTCATGGCTATGCTAGACTGGTCACGGACGAAGCAGAAAAACTTTGGGCGATGAAACTCATTACGAACTCAGTGTTGGCGGATCGCTGGGACCATACCCGAGTGCCACCAGACAATGCCGAGATGTCTTCCACCGTCATTCTTAAAGTCAGAATTGTCGACGGCAGTGGCAAGATTCGAGATGGAGGTGTCTCTGACGAGAGAAAGGACAAGAGCAACGACGATGTGACAAAAAGGGTCTGGACGGGCGTTGTGCCTGTCTATGAGACGTTCGGAGACCCAGTTCCGAGCCCAGAGAACAAGGTCTCTGAAGTACCAGAGTACATCACCTCGTTCATTGCCAATATGAACAAGCGCAATCGGGATTATGCTGAGACAGCAGTCAATGTTACACTTCCGGCGGAGGAACAGCATTGAATCTTGTAAAATGACTCATCATCTCTCAGATAGTGAGCGTACAACTCTTCGAGTAAATTGATTGTGGTTCCTGCCTTTGTTGACTTAGATTTTCCTGTTCTGATTGTATGTTCTTCTGAGTATCTGCAAGTTGAGTCCAATAATTGGCAAAATGGTCTCACATGTTTTTGCCAGTTGACAGCGGATTCCGCCTACTGGATCTACCCTTCTTGGACCAATTGCTACTTAGCTACCCCACGTCATTGCTGCTCCGCAGTAGGATAAGCAGTGGAAAAGCGACGGTTAATTCGTCAATCATTACAGATGACTCCTACATACTCGGAATATAATTCAAACTGGCTTGCTAAACAGTATTTTTTCCATCGCTCTTTTCGCTTCCTCATCTATGAAACATAGCCAACTTCACAGCCGTGACCTGAACATCATGGCCTCATCGGCAATACCAGCAGCTGATCTCCGATCGTTTACCGAGTACTTGAAAGGGTGTAAACGTATACTGGCACTCTTGGGGGCTGGTGTATCTGCATCTTCTGGACTTCCCACCTTTCGAGGAGCCGGTGGGCTTTGGCGATCTTATGAGGCCACCGACTTGGCGACGCCTGAGGCTTTCGAGGCCTACCCGGACCTTGTATGGCAGTTTTACAGCTACCGAAGACACATGGCACTCAAAGCGAAGCCTAATCGCGCGCACTATGCCCTTGCAGAGCTTGCAAGGAGGAATAAGGATTTTATTACTCTCACACAGAATGTCGATGGTACTGTCTAGGCTGCATAATTCGGTGCTGGTTTAGCCTGGTTGAGCAAGGCTGATGAATGGCTCTTCAATGTAGGTCTTTCACAACGCGCGAACCATCCCTCGGAACAGCTTCACCTTCTCCACGGGTCTCTTTTCACGGTCAAATGTACCTCATTCTACTGCAACTATTTGCGCGAAAATGAATTTACCGATCCGATAGTCCCCGCGCTTGCCATACCGAAAGGTGTCCCGGACTTGAGTCCCTCTGCCGAAGATAAGACTGGCGAGGAGGCCTCGAAGGCGCTCTCCAACGCATTAAGATTGGAAGAGGAAACGGAACTAGACATAACAGATGAGAACGTCCCGCTCCCTACTTTGAGTCGGGATGTCCTGCCACATTGTCCAGAATGTAAAGAAGGGCTTTTGCGGCCCGGGGTGGTCTGGTTTGGAGAAAGCTTGCCGTTGCAGACACTCGAAATGGTGGACAATTGGTTACATTCTGGTCCCGGGGTGGACCTGATCCTGGTGATTGGAACAAGCTCAAGAGTCTACCCAGCTGCAGGCTATGTTGATAAGGCGCGTGCGAGAGGTGCCCGAGTCGCTGTGGTCAATATGGATCGCAATGATGTTGGATATTCTGGCTTGAAAAAGGGTGATTGGTTCTTCCAAGGAGACGCAGGTGTTATAGTCCCGGAGATCTTGAAGGGTGTTATTGGAGATATTTAGCGATATGCTTTGAGCTTCACATTTTGTTTTCATGACGTTTAGCGAAGAGTGTCAGAGGTTTACATAATTCCACCTTCAGCTTCGGATTGGGAAAGTAATTTCGCAGAAGGACTCCACGTTCACAATTAGGAAAGAATGATGTTTAAGGCAAACTAAAAAAACCAATAATCGTCCCTTTGAAGCCATTATCGGTTGATTATGCCTGTTGAGAGATATCCGGCCGTTGATATCTGTTCGTTCTCGTCTTGTTTCGACCTTATCGATAATAATAGCCTCAGGCACTAAGGCAGATAGACACGGTTGCTGGGGCAAAATCCCAAACAAAACGCTATCGATAATGTGGCATGTCGGCACTAACAACGCGGGATTTTTTACCACAAACAGCTCCACCAGAAGATCTCAAGCTTATCAAGAGTCAAGCATAGGGCATGTTGATTTCTACTCAAGTCTGAGTATTCAAGGCCAGTACGAGGATTTGGCTCTTTGTCGTGGCTATCATAGCTTGTCGAATACAATTAGCAGCGGCACCGAACATGAGCACCTAGCCTGCTAATACACTTCAGTTGTCTGATTCTCCAAGCCAAATTGCAAGAATCCACTGTACAGACTACAGACAGACGACACAGACTACTGACCCCGCTTGGACTTGCAATATCATACCTTTCCTTCACCTGCCTTTCTACCCCTCTTCAGCACACCAATCGCCAAGTGCCCGCCGCGAAAATCAATCATCCGGGACTCAACAAGAGATACCCGGATTACACTTGCTTCTTACATCTGACGAACTTCAGAGGGACGTTTACAATTACCACAACACAATGGCGAAAGAAAGCGACGCGCCACCGTCGTACCCAATGACCCCTCGGCGGCCAAACGAGCAGACCCAGCGTCCTCTCTCACATCACCCTGAATTTGGGAAACCATCTCCCCTCGGCCCATTTCAACGTCCAAACCCACCCCACCAGCAACAGTCGAACCATCCTTTTAATATCCCAAAGCCGAACCGTGCTCGACCTGAACATCACAGGCCTGCACCGCAGTCAAGACCATACAATGCTCCTCACCCGGGTGTAAACCATCAGGGTCACAGACCGCCTGCTGGCTCAGGTGGTCCTGTAGCATCCACACCGAAGCGTAGCGAGCCGTTCGACCCTTTCAAGCCTGTTCGACCTTCGGCCTATAACAACTACCGAAACTCGCGTCCGGTCAATAACGACGTTGTGGAGATTCGCCGTCCGGAGAATATCACCTTCACCACCCCACGAGCTCCCAAGACTTTCTATGCATCTTCAGCCATCAAAATGGACAATGCAAAAAAAAACCTCAGCAACTTCGTTGATCTTACCCGCGAGGGAGGATTCACACCCAGTGCTAGACCTCGCAATACGGGGTTCGGGTCAATGGACGTCAACAGCTATGTGGATCCCGTCAAAGCCAACGAAAACATCAAAGCTCTGCTTGAAGGAGCATTTACGGATGAGGATGACAAGCAACGATCAAAGTCAAAGAACCGGAAAAAGAGTAAGAACCGGAAGAAGAAGAAGGAAGGCAAGGAACAGAAGAAGCAGAACACTTCTGAAATTGACGACCTAGCCGCTCAACTGGAAGGAGTCACCGTCAATGAGCCAAGCGCTGCTGTTGAGAAGAGTGAACTGGACGAGCTGAAAGCAAAAGACAACGTTGATAAAGCAAACAAAAGGGAAACCAAAAAGGACGAGAAGTTATCTGAAGATGAAGCCGAAGACGATGAGCAAGGGGACGAAGAAGAGGACGAGGAAGAAGAAGAAGAAGAGGAAGAGGAAGAAGATGATGGGACAGTAGAAGGCTTGAAGGTTAAGTTACTCCCTCACCAAAGGGAAGGAGTGAACTGGATGAGTGACAAAGAGAGAGGCTCAGGCAACGCAAAAGGAGTGCTTCCCAAGGGTGGCATACTTGCAGACGACATGGGTCTGGGAAAGACTGTTCAAACTATCGCCCTGATACTCACCAATCAGAAATCTTCAGACAAATTCAGGGCCGGCGCCTCCAATGCGGATGATGACAGCAGTGATGAACAGGACAGTGAAAAGACGCGCAAGGTACCTCCTGGGCTAAGCAAGTCGACTCTTGTTGTTGCCCCATTGGCATTGATTAAACAGTGGGAGTCAGAAATAGCAACCAAGGTCGAGGACGCTCATAAGCTACGTGTTTGCGTCTACCACGGAAATACTCGCGCGAAAGCAACGGACAACCTGGACACCTACGATGTGGTTATTACAACATATGGCACCTTAACCTCCGAGTATGGAGCTGTCGATAAGAACAAGAAGAAATCGGGACTCTTTTCTGTTTATTGGTACCGGATAGTCCTAGACGAAGCGCATACCATCAAGAATCGAAACGCCAAGGCAACGCAGTCGGCATGTGCGCTTGATGCGGAATATAGATGGTGTCTGTCAGGAACGCCAATGCAGAACAACTTGGATGAGCTTCAGAGTTTGATCAAATTTCTGCGGATTAAACCCTACAACGATCTTGCGGCCTGGAAGGATCAGATCACAAGGCCGTTGGCTAACGGACGTGGAGCCCTTGCGATTGAACGCTTACAAGTCTATTTGAAAGCATTTATGAAGCGGCGCACTAAGGAGGTTTTGAAGTTGAATTCCAACCTCAAGCCCAGCGAATCAGGTGCCGACGGGAAGCAGAAGAAGTCGACCGGCTTCCAGATCACCAAACGGGAAGTCATCAAGGTAGCTGCAGAGTTCATGCCCGGTGAGATGAACTTTTACAAACGTCTCGAACAGCGAACGGAAAACAGCCTCGAGAAGATGATGGGCGGCTCCAAACTCGACTACGCTGGTGCTCTGGTCTTGCTGCTACGTCTACGACAATCTTGCAACCATCCAGATCTGGTCAAGAGCGATCTTGCAAAGGACAAAGACATTCTTTTGCAGAATGGGACCTCTAGTAGCCAATCTAGCACTGGAAAGCAGGACGATCTCGATAGTATGGCTGATCTCTTTGGCGCCCTGAGTGTCGTTTCGAAGAAATGCGATGTTTGCCAGACAGAGCTGAGCAAGGAAGAAGCAACGAGCGGTTCCAGCAGGTGTGGTGAGTGCGAGGCCGATCTAAGGGCTACGCTTGGTGGTATCGATACAGGCAAGAAAAAGAGCTCTCACAAGAAGAGGATAGAGGTGGACCTCACAGACTCACCATCTGATGAATTTTCCGAAATACAGAAGGCTCGAGCTCGGAGAAACAGGAAGATTGTCATTGATAGCGACGACGAGGACGAGGATGACGGGGAGTGGATCGTCCCGAAGGGCCAACGCGCTGTGCCCAATCTTGGAAAAGCTGGTGGAACTGATGACGAAGATGCTGAAGGAGGAGGCGAATGGCTGAATTCCGAGGACTCTGAGACTGATGAGGATGGTGGTCCTGAATCCCCAACCCGGAAGCCTGCCATTGTTCCCTATTCGAGAAGAAGTCGAGGACCGGAGTCCGACACCGATGAGGATATTTATCTGAATCCTGGTGACGACGAGAGTCAAGTCCTGCCTTCCACCAAGATCCGACATTTGATGAAGATTCTTCGACGTGAAGCTGGGGACCACAAGTTCATTGTCTTCTCGGTCTTCACTTCGATGCTGGACAAGATCGAACCGTTCTTGAAGCGTGCTGGCATTGGCTTTGCAAGATACGACGGGAGCATGCGAAACGATCTTCGAGAGGCCAGTCTAGATAAATTGAGGCATAACGGTGCAACCCGGGTGCTGCTCTGCAGTTTGCGCGCGGGCGCCCTGGGACTCAACCTTACGGCTGCAAGTCGAGTCGTGATCTTGGAACCATTTTGGAATCCTGTAAGTGACGATGGCGAACTGGATGATTACGATTGACTAATGAAGTTCTAGTTCGTTGAGGAACAAGCTATCGATCGAGTCCATCGACTCAACCAGACACTTGATGTCAAGATTTATAAGATGATTATCAAGGAGACCGTTGAAGAGCGGATCCTGGAATTGCAAGACCGCAAGCGCGAGTTGGCCAATCTCACTATTGAAGGCAAGAGTGCAGCTGGCAAGCTTACGATGAACGATATGATGGCTCTCTTTGGTCGCGACGCCGAAGCACGCTTCTCTGGCGACCGGGGAAACATTGACGTTATCAAAGCTGGCGGAGCATTGACAGATGCCAGCCGCTCTAGTTCCAAGTATAAGGGAAACGGAGGAAGCAGTCGGCCGTGGGGTCAGCCCAGTTCGCAAGACCGGAATCGCCAAGCGGAGAAGCAGGCTCCCAGGGCTGAGGATTCGGTATATGGACGACGGTGGTGAGTGAGGGCGTTACGGACACAGGCACAATGAGAAACCGTTGTGGATTAGCATTTGGGTGTTTCAAAGCTTGGATAATGGGGTCAATCTACGGAGGGGCAAGGCTATGTGGGAGATGGGATTCTGGATGGCGTTCTTGAGAAAGGGCATTATTTCGGGTATTATATTGTTCAATTGACGGAAGGTACATATTCAGGAATGGATACCTGATCTTTGATGACTGGTTTGAATGGTATGAGAAATGAATTGTGGACTCGAGCTGGAAATTTGGTACTTCGTATGCATGCCATCATCGATTGTCGATTGACAGACATCGCTTAGATGCTTTGACGAGTCGAGCAGTCGGCGGTCAGTGATAGACATGCAAGATACCCTCAGAGCTATGATCGGTATCAGAATCAAATTCCCCCAACAGGTCGACACCAGATACGGCGTGGATCCGTCACATCCATCGCCTGTCACAGGCAACAATCGACACTCGACATTCACGATTCGACATCTTCGTTCAGACTAACCTTTCTGGGAGCTTTTTGACAATGTCATTGGTGTAGCCACGGTAGTAAGTAGCTGGGGGCTGTCAGATCACATGGGGACGATGGGATGCACACCGGAGAGGCGAAATCTTGGGTCACGGTAGGAGGCTACGAGTAGGGTAACTGCTCCGTTGGCAATAAATGTACCCAAGGTAGTCTGCTCGGAAATATGAAATGGTGGACGCCGATTGGGTTTGCTGGTTGGGATATGCTTTTATGGAGTTGATAGATGGAGATGAGAGGTCACTGATCAGTCATATTCGGGTGGTTTTTTTTGGGAGATGTGGATGATGACAATGTTCCTTGAAGATGAGATGCTATCTACTTTGTAGGAAGTATTTTTGCAGTTGATGTTGCTTGCGTCCGATTCTGATCACTATGAGACTAAGAGGAGGTGCACACTGTAGCTAAGACTAAGGTAAACTCCTTTACCAGCCACAAGATGATAAACTTCATAAGGGCATCAAAGTCACCCAATGGCAAGAAAATGCGGAAAATAGGAGATTAGGAACAATTACCACTAATCCACTAGAAGCGAGAGCCAAGTCGTTTATCGGAAGAGCACCCCTATCGGGCGTAGTTTGAAGTATAATATGTTTTGAGCTCTCAAGTCTGCGTTCATGGTGTTCGGTTCGTCCAAAAATCAGTCTCAAAGACTGTCGCCAGTTCATTAGACATGTCGTACTCCTGAGAATGGAATGAGATGTTTAGTGCTCCGTAAGTACGGAGTAACTATCTACGTAGTATTATTAGCAAAGCACTGTCCTCTGTCGATCTTGTCTCTTGCCCCAAAACGATCGGCAGTGGTTCAATGGTTGACGACGAATTCTTGAAAGACGACGGTCCCCGGCTCCACTTGAATCTCGACCAAATTGACTTGGTCCGATTAAGAGTGTCATCCAAAGTGGAGGAGACTAATGCTGACGAGTGACGATCCTTTGACGGCTTCATTGCTGTTCCCTGTTGTGGTCGGGAGGTCTTGTTGGTAATTTGATTTGACATGTGAGGATGGCTGTGAGGCTGAAACATCATCTTCATAGTCCATATGTCATTATTATCATGAATTATGCCGTATGAATGAGGACTTGTTATGGTATGATGTTTGAGACTTTGTAGTATGGAGTACTGTGGCCCGAGCTCAACAATGTCAGTGATTTCAAGAAGCAAAAGCTGCCTCCCATCTGATACCTGAAACAGGAGACAGCCACCTCTCTTGCTATGGAAGTAGGGATCTGGTATTTCTTTTGCTGTTGTCTGTTTGATATGCTGCCATATGCAGCTAGAATGGTCTGGCTTGGATGATCTGCCAGCTCCTTTGACTAGTGCTGTTGCGATACGAAGGCCCGCCCTAGATTGACCCCTTCAAACAGCCAGTGATAGGAAATATTCCGCTGGCTGAATCGTACATTAAATAGTATGACAGCTGGAATATCGAGTTTCTGACATGATTGTCGACAATTATCTTGAGAGAAGCCTTCTGATGAATAATGTGACGAGGAACAGCACTGTCTGGTTGCTGGCTATCGGCAGGGATTGCCTTTGGGCGGGCATGCTGGTCGGCCCAAAAACGTGGCGGCCATGAGATGCTGCTTACTGCTTACACTTCTTTCTGTATGTGGACACCACCTCAGGAACAAAGAATGGAAGGATTCGGGAAAGTGACTGGTCAGACCAAAAGTCTTGGAAGACATTCCAGAAGGAGCAAGTTTATACTGCCGTCGAATGATGAGTTGACAGGTCAGCAGTGGCTTGTCGGCTCAGTTGTGTTTTGAGATCAGTCCTATGTATGAGACAATGAGTGTTCTCTGTACATAGCTGAAGCACCCTCTAGACAGATCATGGCTGAACACGAAGTACGCAAGTGATCAGTCATTGTCAAATGGCGTCTTTCAGGTTGCCAAGTTCTCACTCTCTGCTTTTGTAGGAAATCCATCCAGAGGGTCTTTCCAACTGCCCCCAGAAAGTATCTTTAGAAACCCCAGTTAAGCATAGTAGCAGAATATGGTCATAAGTTCATCACAATCGCTCAGGAGTTCCCCGCTGTTTCTTGTTTCCTCTGGTATGAATAGCCAAGTGCATATCTGGTAAGGTCCCCCATTGTTCCATATTCTAGGGACCCGCCCTGGGACGACCATCAGACTAGTTCGTCGATTCTCCATGGTCCAAGACTCCAAGACTTGCTTAGTCTTCCATTCCACCACTGCAGTCTCTTCCAGTCAGTAGATGGTATTACCATTTTGGTTCCTTCATTCTGATTTGTTTTCCTCCTTCACAGGCTCTCAGGTTCAGGATTTTGTACTCCGTAGACCATGCTCCTGGACTAGAACGCCACTCTGAGTACTTTCGCTGTTGACCAGAATAATAATAACACAGAGTACCTCTAAATCCTCCGTAGCAGCCTCCGAACCCCTATCCCTCTTGCCCGCGTGCGAGGATTGCCATCATTACCCACTGGTAGTAATTGTTCGGTGGACTGCTTTAGTTCTTCACGTTGGTCAAGGCCTGCACTTTTCCTCTCTGGGTTGTTTGAGACAGCAGAGCCAGAGCTCAAGCCTCAAAGACAGCTTAATTCCAGTTAGATAGCTGGCTTGTCTGCTCGTATTGCTGGTGTCCCTCTTGATTTATGCTTGTCAGCTGGGCGAATTACCTTTCGCCTACCTTCAAACTGTTTTGAGGTTCCAACAAAGAGAGTTTCGCATGTTTTTCTCCCTCTTGAGCACCGAGCACCTACTGAAGTACCCATTCCTTCAACTACTCCAGCAAAACCGACCCGGGCAATCACGTCTCTCGATAAAAATCCTTCAGAAATCTGCTTTTGATTAGGTGAGTAATGAGTACAATAATTCGGTATGCTGGTCGACTTGAAACTTTGTTGTTCCCTCCTCTGTTAGTGACCCGGGCCGTCTTCTGACTACTCCGTATTAGGGGGCTAAGGCACTACTACTCCTACTACGGGATACGCTCAGCCAGTCCGGAAACCATCCAAGACTCAAACGCCCTTCATCCCTTCTCGCTGTTCTGGTTCCCAAGCCAGACTGGTTCACTTTTTCCATCGGATCCAGCCTCTGAGATTGTCTGAGACACATTTTGTTATTTCATCTTCTGAGCCCGTTGCATTCCCTTCCTTGAGAGGGTGAGTTCCAACTCTTGCAAAAGAACTTGCGCAGCCTATCGGGGAAAAGAACCCCTCCGCCCACGTTATTCTCCTTCTGGACCACTGCCGTCGCCTTTCCCGGTGCTGCGATTCTTTATTACGGTGCTGATCGTTCTGTCTCTTCTTCTAGAAATCTAGGAGCAATTAATGTGCCCGTCGTACGACCGCTTGAAGTCTCCTAAACCTTGAATTTCTGGCAATTGTCCGTCGACTTCTCCTTTTCATACGCCAATCGTCTTTTCCACCCGCGTCTGCGAATCGTCACATATCTTCTAGATAAGAGCCCCTGCAGCACAACGATTGGGATGCTTCCGCGGTGATTTAACCCAAACGGAACGCAATACTTGAGAGATTTTTTCAGCCAGAGTTTCTCAATGGGCAATTCACAAGGGAAACCGGTGGCCTCCACTGATGAGGGTGTGTAGCGGGTTCTCCATCTTAGTGTGCTGGACGACACATGTCGTTTGCAATCGTATGGAGCGCGTTCACTGACTCTTCTTGATATTTCTGCTAGTGAACTTGAACCAGTTTCGCCTCCTTCGAGTGGTAGGCAAAGGTGCTTTTGGAAAGGTCCGCATCGTGGAGAAGAAGGATACCGGCCTGACATTTGCTTTGAAGTACATTCGGAAAGAAGAAGGTAGGAGCTTTGGTCGAATTCGTCTGATTTCCTTGCTGCAGCGTGCTAATGGTTTGGTTCGTGTTCTTTAGTTGTCCGATCCGAGAGCGTAAGGAACATCATTCGAGAACGACGAATGCTCGAGCACTTAAACCATCCTTTCCTTTGCAACTTGAGATACAGTTTTCAAGACATCGAGTACATGTGCGTTCTACAGCAACCCTCCTGCATTGCTCTGATTTCCAGCAGTGGTTGCTAATACTCGTGAAGATATATCGTGGTTGATTTGATGAATGGCGGTGATTTGCGATTCCATATCTCGAGAAAGTGCTTTACAGAAGAGGCAGTACGCTTCTGGATGGCAGAACTTGGTTGTGCTTTGAGATACATCCACTCACAAGGTATCATTCATCGAGATGTGAAGCCGGACAATGTGTTGCTAGATTCGGAAGGGCATGTGCATTTGGCGGATTTTGTATGTGGCGCCCTCGTGACCATTGTGGTTGCAATCACTTTTTTTCGCTGACTTTTTCTTCCTCATTGCAGAATGTGGCATCCGATTTTCGACCAGGCAAGCCCCTCACAAGCAAGTCAGGAACCTTGGCGTATCTGGCTCCTGAGGTGTACGAAGGCGGAGGTTATTACTGCGAAGTGGATTGGTGGTCGCTCGGTGTGACATTTTATGAATGCATTTACAATAAGGTATGTACTTGCTTTCGCCGCAACTCCGGTCTCGCACACTGCTCTAACTTGCGATATAGCGACCTTTTGAAGGTCGCAGCCAGGACGTCCTTAGCGAGAACATCAAAAAGGCTCAACCGAAATACTACGTCACCAACCCGGCTGTTACAGTTCCGTGCCTGCGAGCAATGTCTGCGCTGTTGGAGAAGGACAGAAGCAAACGAATAGGGGCAACTGGCTTTGACACTTTCACTTCGCATATGTTCTTCGCAGAGATCGACTTTGTTGCTTTGGAACGCAAGGAAGTCCCGCCTGTTTTTCGACCTTCTAGCGATAAGACCAACTTTGACGCCACGTATGATTTAGAAGAGCTCCTCCTCGAGGAGGCGCCTCTGGAGGCTCGGGCGCGGAGACAAAAGCCAAGGGCAGAATTGAGAGAGGATGCAACGGCGAAGGAAATCAGAGAGGATGAGCTTCACCGTCTGATTGAGACGATGTTCGAACCTTTCGACTACACAACAGTCACGTATCAAGGGTATGTCCAGGAGTTGCAGGAGCAGGATTTGTCTGGGTTCCGTGCTAACGGATTTTTCAGCAATGCTGCTGAGGCAATTGCGGCATCAAAGTAAGTACCATCGTATCGGCTTCATTCACCCACCTTTGTTACTCACATTTGCCGACAGGAATCCTGAGGATTGTCTTCCACTCACCACGTCTTCAGCCCACGCTCGCCATTATTCACAGCCCGACACGTCGAGGAACTCGCCGTCTTCACGCACTGAGGGGTCTGCTGGTCACTTGACCCAGCCGGACAATACCAGTCATAGTGAGGCGTACGACTCGCAAGACTATACGCCAAACGCGCAGCCGTCGTCGCCAACTCCTCCCCCGCCTCCCCCACC